GGGCATACTTCCAAAAAAGTCACAAGTTCAGATGATCAGATGCAAAAGCACACTAAAGTCAGGGAAGAGGTTAAAAGAAGTGATAAAAGAGATCTAAAAAGAGCTGGGCAGGATACCAACAGTGTTTGCTACAAATCAGACAAGAAGTTTCCAAGTAAGTTATTGTTTCAAGGAGCTTATAATTTTTCATCTTTTGTCCATTCAGCAATGAGTAGCTACTCCACGCCAGGCACAGTGCTAGGTAATAATAGTGCAGAGATAAAGAACACAGAGTCCATGCACTCAAAGGTCTCATGGTTCAGTGTAGGAAGACTGACAAGTACACCAATATGTGACATTCTGGTGAGAAGGAGCACATGAAGAAAGCAAGCAGTGACAGAGAGTCAAAGAAGGCTTCAGAGAGGAGGTGGCTTCTTAATTAGGTCTGAAAGATGAGTAAGTTCACCAGTCAAAGTGTTAGCTCCAAATATAGATAAGAGAGGGATAAAAATGAGAAGACTCCATCCAAATCTAGCACACACACACACACACACACACACACGCTCATACACACTCAATCTCTCTAGAAAGTGTGGACAGACAGTTACGCAGTATCATCATTAGTACTGTACCATACTCTCAAATTCTAATGGGAGACCAGATTTTCCTGTGCTCATCCTCAATTCTGCCAGCCAGAAAAGGAAGACAGCATGAGTTAAGGTCAAGGGTAATTTGTAGCACTGACAATAAAGGATGAGCCATTCATTCGAATATAGAGAGAGGTCAAAAATTGTTATTGCATTTAATTCTCTTAAAAATGGTAATGACAGTATGATTGTAGGAATCTGTGTCTTAGCCATTTCTTCTCCTAGGGCTCTCCTGTATTATATTGCTTTTCTTTTCTTCTTGCCTTGATCTCTGATGATAAGATGGAGACACCCAAACCTTATGGTTAAGTATGAATGAGGAGAAACACAACAAAGAAAACTCAAAAATTTCCTCAGAGTCCCCAAAGAGGAGTGACAGGCTGAACCATATGAAAATAGGAAAGACTTTTTCCTGCATTTGCCCAAGGTTAAAATAAAAATCAATCTTCCTTAAGCTCATTACTGTATTTAACTGTTAAACTCACCCAGATCTTGGTCCATTAGTTCACATCCTGCATCAGTCAAAGTTCCACCTGAACACAGATAGCACTTAGAAATACTGTGTATTCAGGGGCTTCCCAGACCCTTTGGGTCCCACCACATGGCACAATTTCAGCTATGCAGACGAAGTACCTCATCTGACTGCAAACTATAACCTGAACTTTCCTAATTCCTTTGTCCTCAGAAGTACAACTCCTTAAATCCTACCTGGAATTTTCACCTCAACAAAAATGAACATACTGAAATAGAACCAACACATGTTTACAGTGAGTATTTTTTTTAAATATTGGCTGTGATAAAACATAAGGATTGATTACCTCCAATGTACCCAGATATGTGCTCTGTGTTAATTATTCAATGCTGAGCAAACGAGGTATGTTACCTGCCCTCATGAACTTTAGATGAGAGATAAAAAATAAAAATAAAGGTCCGGGGATTTAGCTCAGTGGTTCTACTGCCTGCCTCACAAGTGCTAGGTCCCGAGTTCTCTCCCTGGTACCAAAATAAATAAATAAATAAATAAATAAAAATAAAGATGTGATAACAATTATGATTACTCTCACAAAGGAAATGTATAGACTGTTTTGAGTGACACTGGCATTTGATAAAAGAAAGCAGTGAGAAAGTTCCTCTGATTGAGGCTTAAAGGGTCAATGGAACCCAGCAGTTATCAAGCTGGGAGAAGAGCATTCACTGCAGAAAGAACAGTTTATGCAAAGTATAAGCAAGAAAGGCCTTAGAAAGTATACAGAACAGAATGAAGACCAATGAAGCCAAGGTACACTAAGAAAAACAGAGATAGCCTAGATTGGATTGACTGTGATAAAGAATAAATATTGATTCTGAATGCTCCATGATGTTTTAAAAGAATAGTAATGATTCAACTTAGGGTTTTTAAGAGATCTCTCTGGTTGCTCAATAGAGAATAGATTCAAAGAGGTAGGATGTCTATATGAGAGAAATAGGCTTGAGGGCAAGATACACCTTCTCCAGTAGGGCCTCAAAGAAAAATTCTCCCTGCTTTATCCCTTTACCTGAGATTACTCCACACACAAAGAGAGTATATGAATAAGACTGGAGCCAAGCCCTTTATTTGTTGCCGTTTCCAACTGTAGATTGGAATCAAATTGGGAGTAAAGAAACACAAATGCTGTGCCAAAGCCATCTATTTAGAAATGAATGAATGAAAATTCACAAAATGGACACTACTTTATTATTCACAAATTAATCTGAATATATTTCTTTTGGCTACTGAGGTGAAGGGAGGGCTATAAATGCAAACAAAATCAGAGAATGATTTTGACTTTAGCAATTGCCCTGTACTTGGTACAACATAAATCACCAATAAAGTGTTTTTCCACTGGGAGATTGTGTTTTACATATACAAAACTCATAATTTGTGTTTATTGAAAAGATTTGGACATTGGAATGTTATTTATGTTTTAATTTGTCTGCACCAGTAAATAACATCCCACTTAGCAAGCAGTTCCCAGTCAGAGCATTTACTCCTGAAATAGTGTCCACGACCTGTACTGGCCACCTTTGTGCTTGGTTCTGCTGACCCATAAAACCATAATCAATGTGCTTAATAAATATTTATAGACTAGATGGATGAATGAGTGCATCCTTATATCTTGTCTATTTACAAGAAGAATCAACCCAATACAGAACTTGCTTCACAGACTGTTATGCCATTTAATTAACAACATCAGTACCCCTTTGTGTCTCATGACTTTTATTTTGCTGTAACTACGTAGCAATTTGTCATCTTTAATATCATTGTACATTAGCATTTTTATACTATAGTTTTTTACTTTATAAAGCATATTTTACTACACATAAGCAGTCAGTTTTTTGTTTTGGTTTTTGGTTTTTGGTTTGGAAGGTTTTTTGAGACAGGGTTTCACTATGTAGCCCAGGTTGGCTTCAAACTCTCGGTGATCCCCTTGCCTCGGGCTCCCAAGTGCTGGAATTACAGGCATGTGCCACTACGCCCAGCAGTCACTTAGGAGGCTTCTTAGAAAACTGGTTCATACTCATTTCCTTTTAAATTTTGTGCAGGGCCAAATGTGTCCAAAATACACTCTCAGGTCCTGAAGGCATCTATAAGCATGAACAAAGCTGGAGAATACATTTTTCAAAGCCCTTTAAATTGGGAGATAACCTGATTGGTAAAGAAAGTCTATTAATTCTACCTCTTGATATTTTCCAAACCATCCCTACAGTCACTGGCATAGTTCAGGTATTCACCGTCTGTTACCTGGACTACTGCAGTAGTCTCTGTCACCTTAAAAAGAAAGCTGTCTTTTCTTTCCTCTTCCCTTCACTTAAGAGTAAAATATATTTTGAGAAAAGACAATATCATCAATCTGGGGTATAGAGATTTTAATAAATGGGCTCTTGACATGTTACCTCATAAATGAACCTTCTAAGTTTATAAGTGGTCCTTTGACAGGATGCATCATGTCAATCTATAGCTCAGAATCTTCACTGATTTAATCGATAATTCATATAGTAATGGATCCTGAAAATTCCATTGCTTCCTTTCTTCCAGCAAAGGCATCTCATCTAGTATAATTTGAAAATGCTTCACTGGTACTATGTGGCTAAAACTGTGCCATGTCCTTAGAAAGAACCAGTCAGGGGACCCTCATCTGGTGTTTTCCAAACTAAGTCATTAACAGACCACCTCACTACTTTGGCCCTATCCACTTATCTTCTGTGCTATTATCTACTTAGTTTTTTAAAAATCAAATAATTTCTTAAGCTATAAATGTAATTTTCTGCCACTAGCATGAGCAGAAAAACAGTAGCAACTGTCATTAAAGAAGCTTCTGCTATATGTAAAGGGCAGAGCTCACTGATATAGCAACAGCAAAAAAATCACAATTTGGAAAAGACTCAACTAGCCAATTCCATCACTTCCACTGATCAGGAAGGAAGCTGAGGAATAATGATAGGACATCACAGCAATTCAACATTGTCTTGACTTAGCATAAATAATCTAAAATTAAATTGAGCATGTGACCTGTGTATCACAAGGGTCTACCATGCGTCTTGCAGTTGGCCGTGTTGGCCAGGCTTCCTAGTCTAGGCCAGGTTTGGAAGCATTTATTTCATTGTCTCATTTTTAATAGAATCCGATGGCTTTCTTGAAAAATTGAAATCCTAGGAGGATCAAGGGAAGAAAAAAAGAAGAGAGAACAAAATGACTTTTGGTGAATAATATTAAAGATATGGAAAAAGAAGGAAATACAAAGACACAGCAAGGAATTATAAAAGCAGAACATGCATAGCCAGAAAACAACTTGGTAACTCCCCCAGAACAATTTTGGCTCATTGTAGATGCACGAACCAGGAAATATTATTCATACAGAATAAAGAATATAAAAATCTTCTGCAACACTAACTATTCTTAATTGTGTACATTTAATTGGAACAGCAATTTGAAGAGGAGAGTATTCTGCTGTGAAATTCTGAGCAGAGTTAAATTTAAGATGCTATAAATTTTTTTCAAATTTTAGTGCTCTTATGTGATGTTGAGAATGACAACAATAATAGTGACAAAGATAACAATTTATGGCATCATGTAACTTTATATAACTCCAAATCTTTATATTGACATAAATTAGAGCATTCAACAGAGTTTCTAATTTAACCCTATAATTAACCATACTTCCTCAGGCAGAAAAATTTATCATCTAATTTAATCCATATCTTCTCAGGAAGACAAATTTTATTCATTTTTCCTCAATTTCTTTCATTCATTATTCTCCTTGGCATATGTCTGGTCCTTCAGCTATATTTACTGTTGGGAGCAAAACAAACGAATGTAGTCATACATTTCACCTACCACTTCTCTTGGCAAAATACCTGCAGTATCCCATGCCTGGAGCCCAGTCTTCCTCAGATATCCATGCTTCTTCCAGACAAATCTACTACAAAAGAAGGGAAGGGAGGAGTTTAAGAGCATTTTATTCTGCATTCCAGGCACCATATGGGTACCAAGAATGGCTTCACCCTGCCAGACTTGGGTCTGGAAATCCAGCTTTGGCTCTCTTATTGTTTCTGTCATTTCTGGAATACATGACTCACAAACCAGCCCTAAATCATTTGTTTTCCTGTTTGTGATGCTGATGGGACCAAATAAGAAGAATCTCAGTGCCCATAAAACCACTGCCAGTTCCTTGGCATCTGCCCATCACTCAATCCCGTTTAGAGGATGTTTTTCAACATGACTCAGAATAATCTTCTAGAACAAAGTGTCCTATAAATAACATCAGGCTAATTTTAAATGAAGATGACTTATAGAGCTTGTTTTTGGATTAGCAGATAAAATGTCCCATAACACAATTAGTGCTTTGAATTATAGGTCTTGCTTAAACTATAGTATTAGGGACATTTTTACTGATAACAACTCCAGCAACCACATCTAAACAGAAAGACTCAGGTTTGCGTTATTTTTCACTCTTGTTTTACCCTAAGGAAATACATTATCCTGGGATTTTATTCAAGAAACTTTTTAATAGAGAGATTCAATCTTCAGTTTTATCAAAATAGTGTATTTCAGTCATGTCAAATTAGTGTATACTTACTGAAGTGCCTACTTCTGAAAGGCACTAATTGAGGCAGTGGAAACATAGAATAATAAAATAATATATGGTACCCCCCCCCAGATTGTTGTAAATAAATTGTAGGATGCACGGTTAAATTTGTATTTCAGGTAAGCAACTAGTGTTTTATATACCAATTTAATAGAAGTGTGTCCCATACAACAGTTGGAACATACTTATCCTTTCAAAGTTGTTCATTGTTTACCTGAAATTTATATTTGACTGAATCTCCTGATAAATGTGGAGCAGAAGAATAATTTAATGAATAGTTGCTTAGTACCAACTGTGTGACCATTCTTGATACTGAAGGGTAGAAAAGGCAAACAAAATCTCCTGCTCTTATGGACTTAAAGCTTAACAATAAATAAGGAAATAAATGGATGACTACAAATATATGCTATGTATTATAAATAAATGTTATGAAAGAGAGCTGTCTATGACTAATATTGCTGAGATGAACATCAATATCCTATAAAGTGCTCAGCTACAAGATGAAGAGTACCTAGGCAAGAAAGGACTTTGGGCAAAACTTCCATTAAACCAACTTCATGCATGAGAGCTCTAATACAGGATAAAACTTCCTGTACCAAAATCAATCTCATACAATCTTCATTCCTTTCCCATACATTGCAAAACTGTCTTGCACATTACAGGACAGTAGTCCAGCTACTACCTCCTGGTCACTGAGACAATAAAAATTTCTCCCACATATTTCCAAAGGCATCCTCCACCACCAGGCCACAGCTACCAACTCTTTCCTCTCCCTCAAGCCTTAAAAATCACTAAATAAGAGGAAACAGGACTCGGTCACACCAAGCAAAGTGGACCGTGATATGGGATCAAGATTTTTCTTTTTTTTTAGTACCAGGGATCGAACTCAGGATCTTGTGCTTTCGAGACAGGCTACAGAACCACTGAGCTAAATCCCCAGCCATCAAGTTTCAAATGAGACCAGAACCACATGAGAAACTGAACCACCTTTGCCATGACTACTGGCCTCATTCATATTCTAGGAAATAAGTACTCCAAGATCAGCAGCTGACAAGCTCACAGTTTACCCTATGGCTTAGAAAGGTTAACCCAAAAGATAAGAATTCAAGCCTTGAACAACATGTCTAGGCAGAAAAGATAAGCAGAGAAAACAGGCCACCAACAGTCATAGGCAATGATGTGGGCTATTATGTATGTGCATCCACTTTGGGGTTGAAACACACCAATAAAACCCTCTCCTCTGCATTCAGACTTGTAGGAGGCTGATCTCCAATGTGTTCTCCAAGGGAATACAAAAAGCAGAGCCCCATAGCTCCCTCTCCACCAACCTGCTATTACCCATATGAAGCTTCGTAATTTTCACTGGGATGTGACGTGATGGGTACCATCAGCCTGTGTTACCAAGTCTAATGTTAAGACCCAGATGTACCAAAAAGATGAACATGAAAGAGGGCTCTAATTTGGTTCAGATAATAACTTAAGATTCATTGACAGTTTTACCAGTGCTAGAGTAAGAGGCACACTCAAGCCCTCAGATTACCTCATCTTTTTGTCTCCTGCTGTACTCCACATACCTTGGCCAGCTCACTTCATGTGCTACCATCCCAACACACCTCTCACATTTGCTCTTGTTCTCTGGGCCAAAAAGGGCTTTTCCCTCTAGTTTGTCTGAAGAACTCTTATGCATCCTTCACAGCTCATTTCAAATATTCCCTTAGGTACTACTCACCTTCTTTGTTGTTAAGATACAATATGTGACATCCACAAATTAAAGGGTGTAAATCTCACTAGAAGTAGCAATCAATACCCACCCGTATCACCATCTGAATATAAGACTGTCTTAAAATTTCCTCCCCCTAACTAATTAATCCACCATCCTTAATCTCAGTCTCTTTCAAAGTCTCAAGACATGGGCAAAATGTAGACAAATTTTCTGCCAGAGCATAACACCCATGGTCTCAAGTTCAACTGCCACTGGAGTCCTTATTCCCAACTGAAACCACTTGAGCCTGGTATTTACCATCTTTATTTCTCTCAGCATTCTGGTCTTCCAAGTTCTGACCAGTATCACCCATTGTAGCATTTCAGGACTTTTCTAGAGAGCATCTCTAAATTTTTCTAAATTCCTCTGACAAACCACTTGCAAAGGCTTCTAAACTACATGGTCAGGTAGTCATAGCAACAACCCCACTTTCCTGATGCCAAAATCTGTCTTAGTCAGTTTTCCTTCACTGAGACACAGTATCTGAGATGCACAAATCAAAGGAGGGGAGGTTTGTTTTGGCTCATGTTTTCAGTCCAAAAGTCAGCTAGCTCTAGGGCAAGAAGATCATGGTGGAAGGGCCTGCTGCAGAGAAAGCTGCTCATATAATGGTGGTCAGGAAGGAGAGAGAGAAGGGAGGAGTTAGAGAGGGAGATTTACCTTTATAAATCATGTCCCCAGTGACCTACCTCTTCTAACTAAACTCTGCCTCTTAACAGTAAGTCAGCTGTATTGCTCCCATAATTAACCTTCCAAAACCCCAGCCTATGTACACATGAGACTTACAGGGGATAACTAGATATGAAAAATAATACCTTCTCTGTGAAGTCCTCCTCCTAACAAACTATTTGTGTGTGCCCTGACATGCACACTCACACAGGCAGAATCCATGACCTCCTCCTTAGGGCCCAGCATAGTACCCATTCCTCCTCTGCAGCACTCACAGGTCATCTTACCCAATGAACTGCTTATTTCTTTTTTCTCTCACTTGTCTGTGAGCTCCTCGCAGATTAATCCATCCTCTAAATCCTATATTAACACAAACAAGACATATGTTATGTACTCAACAAATGCAGGAAAATATGAACAGAGAAGAAGAAAAAGAGGGAAATAATGAGAATGAGAGAATAACTTTCCTATTGAATTGACACATTATTAAAAAAATCCCCATATTCTTAATGATGCATAATTTCTAAAGAACATATCTGTCATTTAAGTGAATACACAATTGTATGAATATTCTTTTTAATATGCAAGAAATGTGTTGATGATTATTCATGGGTCAGAGACCCTCCACTGAGAAATGAGTCTAAATCATGAGCTCTGCTCTAGGGAGAGCAGAAAGAAAGGAAAGCTTCTCTCCCGTGTGAAATTGGGGAACACATGCCCATCCCAACTTGTGAAAGAATCATTTAATCTCTTGAGCAAATTCCAATAAATGTATATTCATTTATTTTGCAAATTAATTGGAATAAACTTTTAAAATTCACATACTTCAATTACATTTCTCTTAAACAATATGATTCCTGCTTCTATGATCACCACTATTTTTAACCTATTTCTGATTTTTTTTTCCTAACTAGCTATAGTCTACTGTTATAAAGGGCATAAAAGAAAACTAAGGGAAAATGTAGTACAAAATGACTGGCAAAAAAGTTCTTTAAATTTTTCTACTACTTAAAATTTGGCTTTATGATAAAAGTTTACCTAAGGCACACTCTATGAATATAATTAAAAACATAATTTCATTTTTCATGCTGTACAATCAGAAGATGTAAATGATGAGATTTTAAAAAGCAGAGTTACCTAGTAAAGAAGGAGTTCAGGAGGTCTTATTAGTGGCTCAGTTTACAATCTAGAAATGTCTTTATGTAGATTAATCATATTGCAGGGCCAGGGGAGATTTACAATCTGATTTGCTACAGAGAACTCCATGTAATCTTCGTTGAGAACTGACACCATTTTATCTTTGCATGAATCCCTGTTTCTCACACAAGTAATTCCGTCCTTTCTACATTGTCAGCTCTGACAAGCTGATTTAATCTGCAGGATTCTGAATGCCTCTGACCACTGCAACGAGTCATTAACCTTGACTTGCATAATTGAATTCAAGGTTGATTGCCTGTGACCCTCTATGCTAAGGTCTTCTAAATGTACATATTCATTATGGGCAGCCTCACTAAACGGATTGCACAAGGAAAGCTGTAGCAGTCGGCCTGCTTGGTATGCAGGGGGCGAAGAGGGCACTAATTGCATGTTAGAGCTGAGGATTAGATTATGAAACGAGTGAGAAAATGAAGATAGATCCTCTGACACTGTCAGATTAGGGGCAGCAACATGCAGGAATATGACATTGAAATTTACAGTGACATTAACAGAAGGAAAATTAGAAACAAATAGACATTGGACATTTTTTGAAAATCTTCATATTTTCTACACTCACCTAATAAAGGGGATAAAGGAGTTAATGTTTGTACCTTTTTTCATTTGCAGAAATGCAGCAGAATGAGAAAAAAATTTAAGTAGCTTTTTTGAAGACTAGAAAATCACATTATGGTCCATTTAACA